AGGTGATGTTTTGAGGAAAACATACCTACGCGGCTAAAAATAATTTACCAGGTCAAAACAGACCGGATCCGTGATCTGGTATAACCGAACCATTAACCATTATCATGTTGATATAAAAAAGCAACGTGGTATGCTTTTGCGAGGAACTCTACATTAGGTATTCATGTTTTTTCATTTTTATGTTGCAAAAGGTATAAAAATTTTAGGAATTATTATTTATTTAAAGAAAAACTTTTTTGTATGTAGTCTTCAAAGTTACCTAACGTAAGAAGCATTAAATATCAGCCCAAAGTTTTTTTTTTTATAAAGTAAAGATAATATGTCCGTCCACTCAAAAGACTTCAACGCGTCAGACGTCTTGACTTCTCGAACGAGACGAAATAATTGATTGTATTATTTAAGTAACAGAAAAGGTTCTATGCAATGAATCCTTTATGTAAAGTCTGTGTATACGTCTATGTATATGTTGACAACAGTATAAAAATAACACCTCGTCACTTTTCAATTTCTGTAATCATTAACATACACCGTTTGTTGTTATCGTCACCCGTATGACAAATATACTTTCACGTTAATTCACGTTACGGGCTCTTTTCAGTTGAAAATGCTAATGAAACTTACAGACATATAGAGTGTAGAGATTAGTACCGTATTTTTATGTTAATAACTACGAGTGTGGTAGATTTGAAGACCTAACGTATTCTTCTTACATAGCTCTTACATACAGTCTTATGTTGACCAAGTTCAAATGTACATTAATATCCGGTAAATATTTTTAAAAAGCTTATATTTTTACTAGCGCCTTTTAAAATAGACAAAATAAAATGGAAACTTTTTATCAATCACAGAATACATGTGTAGTAGTAATTGGTTAGGTACAAGTTGCACCACCTAACTTTGACCGTAACTATAACGATAACCGGTGATTTTTGTATGGAGTTTAACAGAATTTTGACGTTTGTCAAAGTTAAAGTAAGATGGTCGGATCGCTGCCTGCTGCTGTCTTTCCTGAAGACTATAATCCGGACCTTTTCAAGGCGAGAGTGAATAGGCACTTACAGACTGCATCCCACTTAACATCAGATGCGATTGTGGTCATACCTGCCTTGTTATGCATAAAATATTGGCCAAGTGCGTGTCGTGCCACGCGCAATGTAGGGTTCCGTAGTTGTCCATCGTTACCACAATATATTTAATAAGCAATTACTTCATCTAAAGCAGTGGTTCTTAACCTTTATGTCACGAGGGACCATTTTACCAAATTTCTGTCTTGTCAGGGACCACATATTTTTTCAAAATCCTATGAAAGGGGAGGTCGATTTCTCGTCCACTGTGCGCCGTTTGAGTTGTGTTGATTCGACTCATCACGTCACATCACTTATTACGATGTCTTCGTGGACCACTTGGAATGCCTCTAGGGACCACCAGTGGTCCGCGGACCACCGGTTCAGAACCATTGATCTAAAGTCACTTTTAATATTTTGGTATGAAAAATGGTGCAGCCCAGCCTTAGTGTCAAATTTTGCCCATCTTTCCTCATACTTAATTGGTTTCCCTATCCTTATTAATGGAACTGTTTCGAATCAACGGCTGCGAGACACGCGCCAGAGCAGCTGCGCGTACGCACGCCCTTGACGCGCGAGTCATTAGCCTTTAGCCGCGTGTCGCGAGCCCCGAGGAAGGAAACATTAGGAAAAATTTTGAAACTTTCCCCTAACCCTTTAAAAGGCAGCGGGAATATAGTTCCCACCATATTTTGAACCTTATCTTATGATCCAAAAAAACAATGAAAATTTTGATTATGTTATGAATGCTAAAGGCTTGGTTGTGCCATCTTACAAACTTTAACAAACGTCAAAAGTCAAACTTCATACAAAAACACCGGTTATTGTTATAGTTACGATTGAAAAGTGAGGTGGTACAACTCAACCTCAGACATTATGGGACGCTTTGGAGAATATAGGGAAAACAGAAATTAGGAAGAAACTATCAAACTTAAGACATCCACAAGGTTATTCTGATCTGTAGATACGAGTTTCTATAAAGTCAGACGTATCTTTTATGAATGAAATGCTGCTGCAAGTAACAAAGAAGAAATGCCACATGCAGATTCTATATAAACTCTATTTAAAAGGGACAAACTCAATTTTATAGCACATTTTCTAAAGATAAAATAAGAAAGACTAATAGAATAATCATACGCACTAACAAAATAAACAAAACGTTTTCTTTCTCGATTCCTAAAAGTGATAAAAAGTTGGGTCAAGAAAAAAAAATTAAATGACCTTAGGTAGCAATATTGATATGCCATATGCATTGAATAAAATGTTCTTCTTTTACAATTTAAGGGATTATTTATAGTCTTCAGTATTCATAAAAAGCGTTTCAATGCGTTACGATCAGTTACAAAGTTGGCAGGACGCTTCGATGTTACACTTTCTGCCAAGTGCACGCGTCAAAGTCAAAAATAAACTCTTTGTGCTTTGACACTAATGCCGCCCAACATCTGTCCACTCTAAAGATGAAGATGCCTATTGCCCATAACAACTTTCACTGCGACCAGCAGAGCGAATGACAGTGGCCCACAAAATCAAAAGAAATTGTCATTTTCGGCGGATTGTGGAAACAATTGTCGACAACGACACGCTAATGAGCTGGCCACATTCACAGATTATACCCCAAAATGTGTTTTATATGAATCAATTTGAACTCCATTTTATTCTGAAACGATTAAGGATTAACTGTTCTTAATTAATACTATCTGTTGTAGAACGTACGCAACACGAATTATAAATCGTTTATCAAGTATCTTCATCGAATACTACATTTTTATGTTCACCTTTAATGTGCAAATTAATTTATTAGACTCTGCCTTAAGCATGTTATCATAAAAACATAATTATTAACTTCATACTGTTATGAAAATAGCCTGCCTAAATAAAATTTATTCCGCAAAAGAAATATGTACTAGCGTGATACTGTAATAAATATAATATTACAGGTTTGTTTAACCCTACTTAATCTTATTAATTGGAAACACAATGAATACAAATTTTAGTAGGTACTGTTGTACTTAAAGTTAATTTAATAATATTAATAAGCATTTTCCTAATAAGCACTTAAAATTTGTAAAAAACCGCTGCTTTACAAAAAAATTAGGCCTTAAAGCCTATTTGTTGGCACCTTACCAAACACCGCTTTGCCAAACATACCAGCAACGAAAAAAACGGTATTATTGTTGTCTCCGAGCACGTTCAAATCGCAATCCCGACTGGCTATTTGCAACTTATTATTTTTTCGGCGGGTTTCGTCACCCGGCCGTCGACCCGAGCAATCAACCTTTATTCACACTTTGCGAAAATCCCAACCAAGGCCACGCTCTTGGCAGCCGAAACAAATCTATATCTTAATAGTATTTTTTACAAGATTATTGCAAGTTATTGCGTGCCCGCGTTGGCCAACTGAGTGCGTGGTCGGTCGCTTTTTGCCTCGATGTCGAAAGGAGGTTCAAAGTTTAAAAATGCAGTTTATTACTTGAAACACTAATTTATTATCGCTATTTTTGATAATAACCGAACACAAAAGATTGATATTACATGACTCTTATTATTTGTGTATGTTAATAAGGAACGTTTTCTTATAAATGGCGTACGTATATATTTTGATGGGCGACTCCTCAGCGGGGATCCTTTGCATATGCATCAGGCATCATTCAAATCCGCCCTTCAAGCATGTTCTGAACAATGTAATGTAGGTATTTCATACGGTGATTTCATTATAATTTTGCGGCGCATCGTTAGAAAGAACACGGTCAGGCACTCGAGTAACTCGGTTAATTGTGCATGTACTCGTACATACATAAGTAGATCGTTGAGCACTTGTGCTATCTGTCTATCCATCGGCAATTTTCTTTGTTATATGCTATTTTAATATTTAGTAATGATACACTTGAATATGGAGTTATTAAAAGTTAACGGCCGCTGTCTTAATTGATTCTATCAAGTCGGCCGCGACAACTATGACTTCAGACTTACGACCATACGCATCTAATTATACAACAGATTCAAATTCAATCAAGTTTCATAATTCAAGTTCAAGGGTTCCGATTACACAAACAGGTCTAGATAAGACTGAAAACCACTGCATACAGTCACCATCATTTGTATAGTCATCTGGAATCTATGGGATCAAAAAGCCAAACTCTACAAGGTCTCAAAATCGTCGCGTTTGTTGTTTTCAAACCCAATTTTAATGAATCAAAAATGAGTTTTGCACAACAGGCGTAGGCCTTGTAAACAAGCAGAAATAAAATAACGCGGTTGGTATATAGACACCGATAGCTAGTCAAGCGAGGCGGCGCGCGCGCCGTCAAAATGGAAACGTTTGTGCGGTGCCTTTGATTGCGTTGCTGCTACGTATAATAATTCGGTGTTAGCTAACTAAAGTGTTTCGATTGATAAGACAATTTTTTAAATGACAATTTGCGTAATGCACCTGTAGTACCAATAGCAACTATAAATAGAGTCAACCTAGTTTGCATACAAAATGCAATAGATACATTTAACACTGAAAGTGTTGTACAACAATGGATAATTTTTATTATTACAAATAAATAAATTTTATTCTGATTAAATAAAAAATAAGGCAAAGACGACGGATATGGTGGTTTTAAGAGTAGGTAGTCATATTTATAAGTTGAATTGCGTGAAAATCTATTTCATTACTAATAAATTCTGGCAAAAACGATTTGAAACGTAAAAATATTTTTTAAACTTTTCATACAATTTTCTTCCGATTTGTATTTTTTTTTACATTACTATCAAAATTCATTGCGTAACTTAAAGGATCGGAGCTACTTTATTTTATACAATGTAGAGATTTTCAATACAATAGGATCGCCACTGTATTCCACCAATTAACCTAGCCTCTCAGCAACAGAATAGAATAGAATAGAAATATTTATTTGTATGTATGCTAACGAGCTCGTCTGGTTGTTGCAGATAGCGCGCCAGGGTGGCGGCCTCCAAGTATGGCGGTGGTGGGCTGTCGCTCGGCTCCGGCGTGTCGGTGAGGCGCGGCATGAAGTGCGCGGGCGTCGCGGGCGCCGGCGACGAGCTCATGCTCGGCTCCTGCTGGCTGGACCCCAAGGACGCGGCCTCGCCCCCGCCCACCTGCCACGAGCTCCTCGACTCCCTCCTCGCGCCGCCCCCCCTCGCGGAACTCAAACCCCTCCCCCCCTTCACCGGCTACACCGGACACCTCTCCATCAACGGCATCTCCGGACACCACTTCCACGCTATCGCGCAACGCCTGCCCGAAGAAAACAACAACTACCCCACCCAGAGCGGCTACGGCGACCATGACGTCGTCAGCTCCTCCACCTGCGCCGCCGACGCGGAACCACCAGATTTGGAAGACGTCAAACCTTTCTTAGAAACTGACACGAAACCCTTCGCGGAGACCACGTCGGCCGCCGACTCCTGCGCCGCGTCGTGCTCGCCCCCCGCTAAGCTATTCGAGGAAGGTCCTAAACAGGAGATGTACGACATCAGCTCGATAGAAGACATCGCGGCCATCATCGGCTCCGCCATCGCAGACACCACCGTCCCCTCCCAGCCCGAGGACCCCGAGCGGAACGACTCGCGCGACAGCTGGATGGACATCGACGCGTGGATCGCCGGCGCCTGCAATCAGCACGGCGACAAAATCGTGCCGCACGATCTCAACGAATTCGTCTTGCCGACGTCGCCCCCGCCACAGTCGCAGAGCCATCACGGCCTCGAATTCTCTTGCAAATCGGGGCAGGACTTTGTTAAAAGCCAAGAGTTTCTACAGAAGAATCTGAATCAGGCGGGCTCGACGCTCCAGTCGCTGCTTACACACGGTTACATGCCTTTGCTACAAAATCGGTTACAGAATGGGCCACCTGTCAAGCAAGAGGCTCCGAGCTCGACCAGCTACGGAATGGACGTTATATCGACATCGTCGCCACCCGGCAATGCGGTGTCGACAACAGACGGGGTGGGTGGCATTTTGAACGGGCGGTATGCCTCTCATTACGCACTCGGCTTGAAACCAGAAGGGTTGTGCAGTCCAGAAAGGTTACTAGGCTATCCGCACGCGCACACTACCACCGTGACTCCTGTGAGTAAAAGTAAAAGGAGAGGAGTGAAGACGAAACAAACAAGCAACGGGGGAAGTATTCACGGTAGCTCGCTGTCGTTCCCGTCGGCGACGGCCGCGGAGCTCAGCGGGCTGCTGGGCAAGGAGAAGCCCGTGCACCGCTGCGGTATTTGCAATAGGGGATTCCTGAACAAGTCCAACATCAAGGTGCACCTGCGGACGCACACGGGCGAGAAGCCGTTCCGCTGCGACGTGTGCGCGAAGGCGTTCCGGCAGAAGGCGCACCTCATCAAGCACCAGCAGATCCACAAGAGGATCGGCAGGGACTAGAGGACCAGGCTCCTCACCAGCTCAAACGAAGCATTTCTATAGGTTTAGTTGTGTGTGTGAACGTTGTCGCTGAGAAGCATCTCACTGTGTAGAATCTCATGTAGGATACGTGTGTCGTGTTTGTTTCATTGTCTTCTAACTTAGTTAAGAGCGATGTTCAGATATTATTATTTTTAATAACCCTTAGTATAACATTCCTAAGGACAAGTGCAATGTTAACTAGTTTTAAGTATCTTCAGACTTATTTTGATGTAGATAATTGTTTACAAAATGTTGTTGTGTGATGGATGCGGGCGATTGTGACTAGAGTATTTCATTCCGTTTTATTATTATTGTATAGATTAATCCGTCTGGTTAGGTTTTAAGTATCTTCATACTTCGTATGTCTTAAATTAATTGTACTCATTTGCCAACTAAAGCGCGTTTGTAAGAATACTGCGCGCGTTTAGAGGCTCTCAAAGCATGAACGAATATACCTTTATATTTTTATTTATTTTGTATGTGAATGGTTACTCCGATTACCTACTTATAGTCAAATTATCATATAGTCTTATAATTGTATATTATTAAGTACTTAATTAATGTTAGCGAAACATAGATGACAAAGCAAATGAGGCTAAATTTAAACTTTGAACATTTTGTTCGTCAAATCGAATAACAACTAATACTCTTCCATAATAATTTATAATACTAATAACTTCATATTAATAATCATTCTTCAAGTTCATCTTCATATTTTCATATTAGTACTGTCATAATATTTAGCTATTTTAATAATTAATCTATTGATAAATGGAATTACAGTCACAAATATTACACAAACAAACGAATGTGTTTCGAGCAATTAGCTACAACAAAGTTGCATTGTCCGTTAGCGATCCTGAAAATGTTACCTTTTGTAAAAATAGGTAAATAGAATTTTAAAATATTTATATTGTGTTCACACATTTATGTTATGTATGGCTTCTCTGTCACGCAATTTTCAATGATGAGGCATTCTTTATGATACTTGTTTATGGGCGGTTATTGATTTAAACTACAATTTGACTTATTGATACTGTTCCACCGAAATCATTAGTAGGCGTTACTTTTAAAGCGTTTCATTATATTACTCAAAATATTCGATGCCTATGTGCCTGACTAAATGAAAATATTATTTGGTTATTATGAAACTACATACACAACCGAATAGTTTTCGTTCGTTTTCAGCCGAAAGACGTCCACTGCTGGACAAAGGCCTCCCCCAAGGATTTCCACAAAGACCGGTCCTGCGCCGCTCGCATCCAGGCACCTCCCGCGAGCTTCACCAGATCGTCGGTCCACCTAGTGGGAGGCCTGCCCACGCTACGTCTTCCGGCTCGTGGTCGTCACTCAAAAACCTTCCTGCCCCAGCGGCCATCAGCTCTACGAGCTATGTGCCGTGTGGGGTGTGCGAATAGTCTTCATTTAAATACCATTTTTTATCATGTCAATTTTTCCAATACGGAAAATGAAATTATGGAAATCCTCATCCACAGGCATGTCTCTAGACTGCTATGGCAAAAAATTAAGCAATTTTAATTAAACCTGGATTAAAATGGATACCTTTGCACCATAATTTATTTATAAGACGATCAAATACGAGTTAGGTAGAATCGCGGGCAGGGTTTTTCAGGGATCGAATTTACCGAACTGTTGAACGTATCAAACTGTAAGAGTAACGTTTATTTATGAGGTGTAGGAAACTCCAAGATACGTAGGCCGCCAAGATCGCCCATTTGTTTAATGAGCGCGCTGTACGATCCTTCGCGATGCGCGGGCGCACGCGAGCGGCGGAACTCGCGTCCGGGAAGCGGACGGAAAAAAAATAAAATTCAGCGCACTAATAGTACCAATCCGCTGTTGCACAACCGCTGTCAGACAATTAGGACAGTATTTAATCAATTGTACACGTACCGATCGGTAGAAATATAGGTAGGTAATAACAAATTTTAAATCCATGCACCAAAATACGGTGCGTTATTTTTGAGACTTTTACTGAAAGTTTGTATCTATGTATAGTATAGTCGATAGCGATATGTATTAAGTAATCATCAATATTGTAGTATTGATTAATGAAATCATGATTATCACAATTATCATCACAAAAATCTTTATTCTCAAACCATGACATTAACACTTACTTCATGTTCATCGCTTTTATTTCCAACTAATGCATTTTACGAGTCTTCGCCTTATTTAAAGCTTGTACATTCCATTTCATGTTTATTTGCGTAGTTTAAAAAACGCGGCGGCTAAACGCCCGTTTATAGCCGTGAGGTAAGAACGGTCGCCATGTACGATGTGAGAAAACGCGCGGTTGTAAAACGCTGGTATTTTATTAGGAACGGTGATGACAAAAATCACCCAAATGAAATTGTTTTGACCCACCTTCCTTTAAAAAATAAATAACTAATTCTATTATTTTATTTCGTTAAATCTGATTGGAAATTTTCAGTTTTTCTTTCAGATATTTATATAAGTTTTTGCTTTCTTAATGTGTCAAGGAGGAGTGTTTTACCCGCGGCGTGTCTCACTCGTGCGTAGTTGGACCCCAAAAGTACCTTTTGCTAGCTGTTAGGCGTTAGACTAAGTATTTATTTCTAATTGTAATATTATTGTAATTATTCGTACTGTAAATCCTTTCACGTAGAAAACTACGTAACCCTCGGATATGTTACAATTAATGTAAGGAGAAAATGTTATATTTTTAGAGGTTTTTTTCAATCCATTCTAAGTAAATTGTAAATTAATGTAAAATAAACGAGATTTTTGTTAACGATACTTCTTTTGTTTTATTGGTTTTTCTAAATTGTTTTGTTTTTATTGAAACAATGCTCGTATTAAAATGTTGCATCTTTGTCAAAAAGTAATACACTAGCTAAAAATAAACAACTTGTTTAAATGTATGTCAGCATCATTGTATGCAGCTCTGCGACGACGGCTATTCTTGATACAGTTTTTCCTCCTAGCCTGTTTTTTTGTGAAAGTAAGTATTATTTTGGTGTTATTTGTGTTCATTAAATGTTGATTTAAGCGGAAAGCAGAGGAAGTCGTCGTTTGTAAAGCTTGGAAAATGTTTAAACCAAATGCCGACGGCTGTGCCAATGAATAAATTGAAAAATTAGCTAAATTGTTGGGGTTTAGAGATACTATCTTTATTATTTGGATCATTTTTACTGAAGTTCATACTCCCATCTCACATAGATCAGAGCCTGAACACAGTGTTAAACATTTTAAAGACGCCTTTCATAGGATAAAAGTGGTAAAACTACTTATGTAGCCTGGAAGTAGCCTGCCATCTTGATGATAAAAAAGAGGTGAGTAATAAACTTGAGAGAGTTTTAATGCCTCTAATTAGTGCTTAACCTAAATAAAGTGATATCATCTTTAAAAACCTCCTCAATCAGCAGGTGTCATGTGTTTTTCTAAACAAAAACAAACGTTTAGGCCCGTCCTTCGTAGGTTCACACGCGTTTCTAAAAATGGTACAACTGGGTCACAGCCGATCGCGAACAAAGGTGCGAATACAGTGAGAGAGCCGAGTTCACACAAGCGGATGAAAGTCGGATGTGAAAATTGACATAGTGCGCACGCGGCTTTTTGCGAACGCGCTTTCTCGGGTAAGGTAAACATTGGCGACCTTGTGAGATTACTATAGATTTCAGCGGTACTACGACGGTAAAAAACTTGTATTATGTTACCTAAACAGTTGTAATTATTTTTAGAATCATTAACTGTTTTGCTTTTATTGCGTGAAAAATGAGAGATGTCCTAACGTGCCCTCAAAAGCACGATATATTTTTTCGGTTGGATTCAAGTCTAATATGTCATAGCCAAACAGATAATAGCGACTCTCTAACTCATTTGCGTTTCAGCGAAGACTTAAAAACGATTCTACATTCATCCCTCTGAAATATACCATTGTTAACAAAGGATTTATAACTGAAAACTTGGCTGACTGAAACTGAAGGCTTGTAACTGAAAGCACCTGAAAACTTTTTTGCTATGTAACTGTATGCTGCTCTTGGACATCGAACTTAAGAACTCTCTATTCTACCTACAAGATCTCAGAGGCGTTAGTAGTACGTATATCTAATGAAGCCAGTGGCGTACCCGACGCGCGACGCACACACACAAAGCGTCGTCACTTTCTACTCGCTCGTCACTAAGAGTTACCCACTTCATTTGAGACGATTACGACCGTTTTGTCAACTGAACCACTTATATTTGCTGAAATATAACCCAGCTCAGATATATTATGTTAGTTTTATCAATTAAAAAGTGTTACATTTGTTCATAATTTCAAACGTCAATATAAATGATAGAAACAAAACACACGCAAATAATTGTTTATTATCTTTTGTTTGTTTATGAATTAGAAGAGATTAGCTCAAATGTATCGAAAATAGACTTTTTCAGCGATAGGAATGTAAAAAAAGGTTAAAAAAACTAGAAATTATTGCATGACTTGAATTAAATATATCTGTACATAGTACATTTATAAAATAATAACTCTTTTATGTTCATGCATTCTCCAAGTGTTAAACACTACTCACTCAAGCTAGCCGTAGTATGGTTAGCAAAAAATTGCAAAACAGCGAATTAATTAATTTCAAATGATTGCTAATTAAGTACTTAGTTAGCAACGGTTGTCATTTAAACAGACGCTTTATGTAATTGACACCGAAGCAAATTTATTTGCAGACCGTGTTTAACCTTTGTTTTTAGGTTAGGCATCCATTTTATAGTTATTATTAAAAGATTATGTCGAAGTCATTTATGACATGCCTTTCAATAAGTACTTTTTTGAGTCGCCTCTCGATTTAAATTTTAAATAACTTAATAAAAATCCGATTCTCACCTTAGGCAATTCGATTTTTTTCAAGCTTTAGTATAGCTAGTTTTAGTTTAGTTTTTTTTTTTTCAATATTTTAAACTTCTTAGCGTTTTTATTTAGTGTAAGTTTTAGAAAGGCTTATTTCCAAGCGAACGACTACGAGCAATACGGGCACCTTCTCTTGAAGAACACATGGAAACTAGAAACGACACCATGACATGCATCTTTGATATAAATATTAAAAATTAGAGATACCATAAAACTTGAGTTTTCATTTCCCCTGTACCACTTTAGCGTCATAAAAAACTCGTTCCACGATGACTTGAACCTACGCGACAGTAGCGTCAGACAAAAACTGGGCACTGCCAGTTGTTTTGCGCACGCTACCGCAGATTCTTTCACCAACCCACTTACATAGAGAGGTTTGATTTCACCGGCGACAACAGCGCGGCGATCGTGCACTGTGCGAACTTAGGACAAAAAGTTCA